ATATTATTTTTACGTGTTTTAGCTGGCAACACTGGATCGACCATGAAAGGGAGCCAGTATTTAAACGAGGCTTAATTTTCTAATTTTTAATGATAAAATAGCGACGATTATTATTTAAAAAAAAAATTTGACAGGCTTAACATGGAGGAAAATTCAACGCAAAGTAGGTTAATAGCGATATACTAATATACTAATTACATGGGATATAATAATATACTACACTAATAGTGGATTTTTTCATACTTTTCGGTTATCTGACTTTTCAATTATCTGACCAACCCCAGTACCCAATTGAGTCGGATAATCGATGCTCTACTGTATATCATTTAATTTCAAGATATTTTGTATACCTTAAAAATAATTAATTCTATCCCGAGATTTTCCGGGATCCCAGGAAACAGTTCACTTTTATCCCGGAATCCCGGGACAAGCAAAAGACCAGGAAATGAGAAATCCTAATTATTATTACTCCTTTAATTTTACAACTTTTCAAATGCTTTGATATGCACATTTTATTGTTTCTAGGAGATTAAAGAAAGAATAATCTAAATGTTTTCTGTACCTTTCAAAGCAACTTCAGTTTGTTCATCTACAGCACACAAATCTTTCTTAATTTTATTTAGAAATAATAGCAATGTTTTATTTTCAGATACAAATATTGCTTTTGTTATGAACAGATTGATTACAAGTATTTTATCAAAATTTTTTAATATATTTGACTTCTATAATTTAATTATTTTTTTGACAATTTAGTATTTATTTCAATACTCTTAATTAGGATAATTCTGATAAAAATTTATAAATGTTTTATTAAATTACTATAAATAATGAAATGATACCAGTAATATCCAGCAAATTATTAAATAATAAAAACAGGAATTTGACAATTTTTAAATCATCATCATCAGGTTAAAATAGTAGTTAAACATATACATATTTATATATATAAAAATTTAAACATCACTTTAAACAAAATGGAATAATTATTTCATTGGTAGAAAGTGTGGATGTCAACAATGACAATGATATAACCAGATACTTATTAGGGATAAGACTTAAATTTATATGTATACTTCAAAGACAAACTAATTAAGAAGTACCTAATTGATTATAGGTGTACCTAAAGATGGACCTAATTGAACTGGATTCTCAATTAGGAACTGGACAAATCTGAAACATCTGGAGAAACTAGAAATGTACAAAGCTACTTTTTGAAACACTGCAATAAATTACAGAGATGCCAAGGCAGTCTGTAAAGCATGGAGATCCATCTTTGAAGTACATCTATAATTTTAAGTATCTTTAATAAATATCTGATTACATCATTGTTGACATCCACACTTTCCACCAATTAAATAATTATTTCATTCTGTTTAAAGTGATGTTCAATTTTTTTATATATGTTTGACTGCTACTATAATTTAACTTGATGACGATTTAAAAATCATCAAACATTTGTTTTTGTTATTATTTAATAAATTGCTGGATATTACTGGTATTATTTTGTTGTTTATACTTAATTAAATCCAGTTTTTCAGGTATTGAAAAATTATCATTAAATTACTATATTTTCATGCATAAAACCAGTAGAAAATTTCTAAAACAAAACTAAAACCTTTCAATAACCCACTCAATGTCTATGGGAAAATGCACCTATGGAGTAATCATTGCTCCATAGGTGCATTCATAAATGCAATTTAAAATTGATGGATAACCTGTTCCATCATATAACCCAAATACCTTTCATCAAATAACCTGAGGGTTACATGCATCAAAGTAGAGCAATATAATATTTAGGTACAGTTTGATTATATGCTAAACTAACTGTTACCCATGACTTTGCCTATGTGGATTTTGCAAGCAAACCCCATTTATATTCAGTATTTCAACAACCATAGTAATTGTTATATAACACCTACTGCTGAGAATCAAACAAACTATTTTCAATTTGATCAATTTTCTGGAACGTTTACAATCATTCTATAATCAAACCAATATGCAATTACAAATTCAAATTTAAAACAGTTCNAATTGCATATATATATATATATATATGCATGAAATTATTGTAATTATAATATTGTAATATATATATATAATCTGCAGAAAACTGCTGTAACAAAAATAAAAATGCCATATATCCTGCACTTCTGAAGCAGATAACATGTATGCAGCTTAATTTAAAAACATGGTTTCAGACATTCATTTTTTCCATGTTTCTTTCATTTTATTTTCATTATCAATTTGTTTTGTTGTAAATGTAATTATAAAATAAGTGAAATAGAAAAAGCAATGTTTAAGATGGAACTGCATAAACTGCATTAAGTTTTAAAAATAATATCTGTTCAATCGTATGTGGTAAACACCTGATGGATTATAATCAAGCATAATAATACAACATGCTGTAATTTTAGTTTTTCCATTCAATTGTTGTTTTGTAAGCATTATGAAAAAATTTTATTGTTCTCTTCTATCTTGAAAGCTATTTAATATTTTAAATTAAACATGAATGTTACTTTAATTAAAATAAAATATATTTCTACAGTATAGAGTTTACAGAATGAATGAAATGAAATAAATCAAAACAGTATCATCTTTGATTTTAATTCTGTTAGCAAACTGACAGAAAGTAATAATGTTGTGTATAAACAAAACACTACATGGTCAAACTAGATATATCATTTTAAAAATATTATTATTTTAGTCTTGAAAAATGTATCATTAAATAATATTAATTAACAACATAACTAAACATCAAATAAGAGATAATGTTCTTGTATGGTATTGTATACTTAACATCACATTCTGACAAATACAGCTGCTTTAATTAATAACTGCATCAAATATAAAGTTCAATCTTAAACCATCTAATAGACTATATGAAATTTCATAACTGATTATTTGATTATTTTTTAATATTTTTATTTCATTTATAAATACATAAAATATTTATTATTTATAAGTTATTTTATTATTTGTAGTTAATCTTTAGTAAGCATTCTTTTTATTTCTAAAATTTACTAAATTATTAAAACAAAAAGTTCATTAAAACTATTATCAAATTCATTTATTTATTAAAAACAGTCACAATTTAAAAATTCCAACAAGATTATAACTAATTATAATTACTAATTGTAAATTGTTATTATTACATATTAAGTATATATTTTCAAAAAATGTTATGGAAATTAGAAATAAATTTATTACCAGAACTATTCTTCTCACTATTTGTTTTTATAACTGGACAGAATTCTACAATTGTGCCTTCTCCAAACCTTTTTCTCCAATATTCAATGTAACTGAAAAAGTTAAAACTTTTCAAATAAATTGTAAGCAATAAATTTTTATTTTGATAGTCAAATTTAAAAAGTGCAAATTTAATCTGACATCTCATCTTTATGAATTGAGACTGATATTTAATGATAAAATATATTTTGATTATTAATTTTAGTAACAGTTATAATGCTACTCTTTATTAATATATAAAACTTTAAAATTGTATAGATATTAAATCTAATCAATTATATGTAATATAAAAGTGAAGACATCAAAAATTTAAGTTTTACATAAAAATTTGTTTTAAAACAAATAGAGGAAACTTCTGTTTTATAACCTAACTGCTTCCTTGAAATCCATTAAAAAAGAAGCATTCCTTTTGCTATAGGCTCCATATCAAATTGAAATTACATTCCTGGACATATGAATTTGAACTAAATTAATATAATTTTATTAGGGTAACCTGTAGCAGTATGGCCAGTTGGTGTTGTGAAATTCTTCAACTTTAACATAGCATAGTCAGCCACTATCATCTTCAGACTAATTAAAAAGTACGTATAAACAAATCAAAAGCATATAAATAATAGTGTGCTCTGGTACAAAATGTATAATAATGTCTACAACATTCAGATTGCATACAACTCATCAAGTTTTGGGAAATTACAAAAATATGACAATCAAGCATTTTCAATATGGCACCATTCTGCTCCCATTGTGTAATAAACTATATAAATTAAATAAAACTATATTCAGATAGCTTTATTCTTGACTTCAACATTATTTTATCATCAGTATCATTTGGATTACCTTTATAATTTAGATCTAGCTTTAATTAATAATGGCTCCATAAATAAACAATAAATACTTAGATACACACTCATAAAATTTAAATATTTTAAAATTTTTTGGTGTGAGATATGGGAATGGCTTGCAATATACTTGTAATTTTTCATAACCTTTGGTCTAAATATGTCTGCTTGTATTTCCTACAGCCATCATTCTTTTGCAAGTGGTATACTTCTTGCTCTGTCTATTGACAAAATTTTAAGATTGAAATTTGAAATCTATATCACAATTTTGTGACTTTTATCAAATTTTTTCACAACAAAACGTTTTCCCACTATGTTTTTCATTGATGTTTTTACTATTATTATTAAATAATTTAATATTTAGTTCTTTTAAAATGTAAATACAAATAAGAAAATAAGTATAAACATCAAACTACTTTAGTATAATGCACTTTTTTACAATGTGCAAATTTGAATATTTACTGAAATGGCATATAAATGAAACAAAAACTAAAATTTTGTTGCACACATCATTATATATCTTAGTCAAAAGACATAAAACAATAAATAGAATGAAAATAAACAATTACCCAATCAGAATTGAGCACACATGCAAATTTCTTCTGAAAGGTTTAGATAGATGACTGACACAACTCTATTGCAAAAAGGTATAATGCACATGGGACAAGATACTACTAATTTGAGGTAGAAAGCATATATTTTAAATGAAATAAATTAAAAATATGATTAAAAATTGCAGCCCAGCATTGTGATGATGTCACAATAAATAATTAACTCATTTTTATACTAACTATAATTTTATGAGTGCTTCCTTGGACTGCTTTGGAGAAAAATTTCTAACCTTTTGAAAGAAATTCCTCTTTCAAGGTCAAGATAAGATGGTGCTTTCAATATGGTTATCATTATCAGCCAGCTAAAGGGTTTGTACATTGAGAATGACACAGCAAATGTTCTAAAAATTTTTTAATTGAAATTTTGCTTTTAAATGTTTTTCTGTAGAACAATTTTAGTGGATCTGAAAATGGAACAAAGTCTCAGAAAACATTTATCTTTCTAATGGTACTTTCTGACTTCTTTAATTTTATGAGTGTGTATCTATGTAGTTATTGTTCTATAATTTTCTCTTCCTGTATTCTCTGTTATGTAAAATGAATATGTAAAATTTTATTTGAATAATATATTGATTCTCAATTCAAGTTTTCTCATTTACTTTAAACTTTAAATTACAAAACTTGGAGAAAAACATTAACAAATTTCTATAAAATTAAATGTTAAATTTATTTTGGCATAATATAATAAATTTGAAAATAAAATTAAAAATTTATAAACTTTACCTTTTGAAGTCTGCAATTAATTTAACTTTATCTATAACAAACTTATGTTCTTTAAATAAATGATGAATAAACCTATTATGTTGTGGATCTGACTGTATTGAAAATGTCTCGTCACAGAACAAACATGTTAAAGAATTTTCTGGAGATTCATCTGCAGAAGTGTCAATTTTTCTTGATGGCAGAATAAGAGGTTCAAGGACATCATCTACATTTTAAAAAATTTAAATTTAATATTCAATAACAATTTTAATTAACATTAAAAATAATTAATAAATTTGTTACAGAAAATATTAATCATATAGTTTTTTATTTAAAAAAATGTTAATAAACTTTATAATTGTCTACATTTTTCATATAGAATCAGAATTACAGTATATTTTAAGTTAATCTAATATAAAGCTCCTTCACTGACTTACTGACATGAAATGTTTGAGTAGAAGCAATTTCTCACAGAAAAAAATCCAGCAAAAAGTTGTGTAACTTTCCTGGCAAAAAATATCTGCTTAAGAAACAAATTAGGAAAGTTTAAAATTGTGTGTGGTATCATCTATTACAATATTTTATTTAAAAAGTAACCTTTATTAATTATAATAAAAAGGCAAAAGCTTAATTTTGAGAGTACAGATGAGTTTTTTAAAATAGTATAGATGCCAATAACAATTAAAAGTTTCATTGAGTCCAACGCCACTCAAATTATGACACAACCCTCTCAAACTTTAAGTTTAATAGCATCAATGCCCCTTATATACAAGTTACCAATGACAAATTTTATTTTATAATCTTTTTCATTACTTACTTTACAATTATTACAGCTCATACATGCAGCAATACCACGTTGCAAAGGCCGAAAGCTCGCAAGTATAGTTTCTTTTCTTAAAATTGTTAAAAGAAATGCCAACAATTCCAATGCTGTACAAATGTTTCCATAATTTGACTGAGGAGTATCCTATATTTTAAAACAAAAAAAATAATATTTTTAAAAATTTGATTTAAAAAAACTTACATATATTAGAAGAAATATTATTTCTTGTTACAATATTAAATAAATTATTATATTTTAAATTTGTTTAAATGAATTAAGTAAAATGAAAATTCATGTGAATGACAATTTGTTTTTAAATGGAGAATAAAATAAGTTACTTTAACATTTTTGACCTGATCAACATATATTTGGCCATGAACACTGTCATATCTCATATGATACATTTCACCAATAACTCTGTTACATACTAAAAAACAAACATATGTTCATTTGTTTATTATTGTTTTAAATGCGTCTTCTCATACTTCCAATGAGCACAGACCTTTTGTTACATAATATAACACCTAGTACCATCTGTTGACAAGACTCAAAATAAAATATTGTTAAGTTTTTCAATTTTTATCAAATTTTTTTGTAATGAACAGTTT